AGTTTTGAATTTGGATCAAAAGCAAGATTTCCTGTGATTCTGAGGGGTCAGTTTGTTAGAAATTCCTTTGAAGACTAGAGGTATTAGGAAGAAGACTCATTTCCTTGTCAGTTTTATTTATGCTACGTATTTTCGGAAAAAAAAAAAAAAAAAAAAAAAAAAAAAAAACACTTTTCCTTATTAGTTGGGACAACTTTTCGTAAGGAATCCCAACCAAGACCTATGCAATTCCCCTTTTCCCTTATTATAACTGCAACTGCATGTGGAGTTGAAAGCTTTGTGATTTCAGCCATCTTTAAATACCTTTATGATAAGAAAAGGGAAATGGAAGACAGCATTTAGGACCAGCGTTGTGTTTGTGTTTTCAGCCATCTTTAAATACCATTATGGTGTTATATGGAAAAATTCTACACTCCACGTCAGCCGTAAGATGGCTGCCACGTGGACGGTCGCCACATGGCATTACAAGTATTAAAAGACTGAGCGAGTAGATCACAAGGAATCGTACCTTTCTAAAGACACCAACTCTAGACACCAACGGTAAATAGGAGCTAAAACCCAAAAGAGGTCGACCGCATCAGGCAGTGCAGCTTCATACAGTTGACCTTGTTCACCCTCAGGAGCGAAGACCACTTCAATGAGTACTAAGGCACCGACCACACCCATATTCACGTAGCGTGACAGCTTTTTAGATATGTGGCAGACATTAAATGCATGCAAAGTTAGTGGAGAACGTATGAGACTAGCCAACATCTCAGTCACCAGAGGGTACTGTTTTGAGGAATGGCATGACCGGCTCAGAGTATGGCCTATGGAGTTGGGTGGGAAACAAATATGATGGTATATATGAAGAGGAAAGGCAAAGAGGCAAGGGGGACTCCGAGGGACAAGAGAATCACAAAAAGCCTCTTTCCTCCTAGAGCATAAGAGTGAGCATTGTAACACCTCTCTAGGAAATTCCCTAAGGAAGATTGTAATTCTTCCTAAAATGATTAGTTGAAAATACTCAGTGGACGTAGCCCAGCATTCGGGGGTGAACCACTATAAATTCCTGTGTTCTTTCTCTATTTTTAGCTCTGAATTACGCTTTAAATCCACATACTAACACTAAAGATTCATTATCATTCTGTTGATGAATTTTTACCGTCAACAATTGGCGACTCCACTCGGGATCGAACCCAGAATCTCTGGTTCATGCGAAGAAGTCTAGAGTACCAGAAGTCCATTGATAGATATGGCACCAAGAAAAACAAGGAGTAGTGATGCAAACCAGTGCCGCCAAATGGAGGAAAATACCACCTTTCCAGCTAACCTGGCCAACGGAGAAAAGGGCGGGGACCAATCCAATGCAGGGATTCCACCCCCGACAGGGGATGAAGTCCCAACCCCGAACATGCAACAACCTGACCCAACATAAATGCAAGCCCAGCTTAATGCCTTGACCGACCTTGTTCGAGGACGCCCCAAGACCACTGAGCGTCGCCACAGCCAGGAACTAGAACGCTGCGGTGCCTTGGAAGGGATTGAGGAAAGTGAAAATGCCAGGGAAAATAACCCGAGTCCTCGACCGTCTAAATCCCTCGACAGTAGGCAAAGGGCCGCTAGACGACGAGCCCAGGGGAAAGAAACAAGTAAGGGCTTAGAGGTGCCCCCTAAGGCACCACCACGAGGAAACCGGGGTAAGTATACACCGGGGGACTCCGGGTCGGTGCAAAGGGGTGAAGACCTCAAGACAAAGCTGAAGGCCAAGAAGGTGGAAGTCTTAAAAGGGGTACAGAGGAAGCAAGGGCCATTATGGAACGTGTGGCGAGCTTAGAAGAAAAGCTCACGGGTGACGTCGCTGGTTTGAAGAAAGACATTAAAAGCCAGGTGAGTCACCTACAGAAGAACATAGGACAGGTGGCCGAGGTGATCAACATCAATATCGCTCCAAGTCGGATCCATGATCGCCCCTTTACCAAAGAAATCATGGCACCACCTCTCCCTGACAAGTACAAGACCCCGTCGATCCCACCATACGACGAAAAAGGAGACCCCGACGATCATTTAGAGATGTACACAGGACACATGCTCCTACATGGGTACTCAGAGGAAATAATGTGCAGAGCGTTCCGGAACCACTTGACAGATTCTGCTCGTAGGTGGTTCCGGACAATCAAGCCAAACTCCATCTCCGGCTGGGAAAAATTAAAAGAAGCCTTTGCCCTCCAATTCATTAGCGTAAAAAAGTATGTGCCACCAAAGCAAAACCTGACCATGGTTTATCAAAAACCAAGCGAATCATTGAAGGAGTGGTTAGTGAGGTACGGTGAAGTAGTCGCCGTTACCACAGACATGACGGATCGTGAGGCTTTGATGGGCAAATTATCTACAACTTAGAAGAACACCCCATTCAAGCGCGACCTAAATCGAAAGCCGCCTGCCACTTACAAAGAATTCTTGGTGAGGGCACATGGATACATTAATGCCGAGGAGGCGGAAACAAACAACCCTGAGCACATAGCCAACAAGAATAAAGGAACGAAGCAAGGTGCCAGCACCAGGAAAGCATGACAGCCGAAAACGTCGAAGTGGTGGAAGCGGAGACAAGCAAATTGCTTCGACGCCGAATCACACAGAAGTAAAGAAGCCGAGGCAAGAGGAGAATCGGAAGCCTCACCCGTTTCAACGATATGACTCATACCACGAGTTAACCATGGGAATGGAAGAAGTCTTTAACCAAATTGGCAGAGGGAACATGTTGCGCCAGCCGGAACCCATGAAGTCGGACCCAAACCGGAGAAATCAAAACAAATTATGCAGATTCCACGGAGAGGTTGGCCACAATACCAACGACTGCGCAGATCTGAAGATGAGATAGAAAGGCTAATCCGAGACAGTCGGTTGCAAGAGTTCAAAGCCGACCGGAAAGGCCACGACCAAAGGGGTGACAACCACCGCAGAGAAGACAACATGCGTGATGATAGGCACAACCCTATCGGTGTCATAAGTACAATTCACGAAGGCCCATATATTGGAGGAGACTCAAGGATATCCCAGAAGAATTATGCTCATGAAGCGCGGCAGGCATACCAGGAAAGATTATGGAATCTCTCTTCTGCCAGACCATTGAAGATACCTCGGTATGATGGATCAGAGGTAGTGTTCTCGGAGGATGACACTAACGGGGTTCACTTCCCCCATAATGATGCTTTGGTGGTAGAGGCAATGATCAGAAACCACACGGTCTGCATAATCCTTATAGACAACAGCAGCTCGGTGGACATCCTATACTCCGTTAATTTGGAAAAGATAAGGATCCCTAGAGAACATATGGAGAGGATGTCTCGAGACTCTCGGCCACTGTATGGGTTCACTGGCGATTCGGTCATACCGCAAGGGACGATTAGGTTGTATGTGACCGCGGGAGAGAAACCTCGTCAAACGACAGTGATGGTAAACTTTGTGGTAATCAAGAGAGGATCACAGTATAACGCCGTGATCAGAAGGCCAACCCTTCAAGCCCTGAAGGCCATTACATCCACCTACCACCAGAAGGTTAAATTCCCAACCTTCGATGGTGTAGGGGAAATGAAGAGTAACCAATACGAGTCCAGAGTTGCGTATTCAGAGGCTGTGCACAAATATGACCAGCCAGAAAGGCAAGAGGCAAGAATGGTGTGCCAGGGGTCAACCGATGAGGATATAGATCCAAGGATGGAAGAAGAAATTACGGGGTCCCAGCCAGTAGAGCAATTGGAAGAGATACAGGTGGATGACCGAGAGCCGACGAGGGTCTTAAGAATAGGATTGATCCTGCCCCAGGTGCTTAAGGAAGAGATGGGAGAATTCCTAATGGAGAATCTAGACGTATTTGCCTGGACTCATGCCGACATGGAAGGGATCGATGCCGAGGTCACGTGCCACTGCTGGAACGTTGACCCTTCGCACCCTCCGAAGCGTCAAAAGGTGGGTTGAGAGGAGTCATTGAGGGTTAGGAGTTGGTGTAGATCGGGAGGTTTCTTGTAATCTCACCTTACATTTGTTGGTAGTGAAATCCTCTTTTATCAAATGTGATTAGCACCCGTGGTTTTTTCCCTAAAGGATTTTTAACCATGTTAAAGAATCGTCTGTATTATTAAACAATTTACGCAGCATTGGTTTCTGTCTAAACAGAGTTTTATTGAAGTGTTCTGCGTGCGTAGAACACTGATTCATAGTCTGTCTAGTCTTAATTTGGCAAATTGGAAAATGGTACTTTAATAAAAAGAAAAAAAAAAACAACGTTTATCTCGTTTAAATCAAACGCAATTTGTCATGATGTGCTAAACAAATTCTAACAAGTTTCTTAATCCTACATTCCGTAAAATTTATTGAAAACTAGGAATATCCTAAATTAATTTGCATTTGCAAACGCCATTTACAACTAGCCAACTGGACAAAGTTGCTCCAATAAGTAACACCCAAAAAAAAAAAAAAAATGTTAAACAAGAGATCTGACTTACAGTTCTTCTGTATTTAGTACAAAAGCTTATTTCGACTAGTATCCCTTGAATTTTAGAGTTATTCCTAGCTTGTTCTCTAAACTTAAAAACTCTAACTTTCTCCTTTAAATTTTGATTTAGTTCGACTTAAATTATTTTGTTAGACCTTTTGTTAAAATCAGATGGAAAAGGTGAATAATGCTATCATGTAGTCTATCTATTAGAATTTCTATTAAAAATCAATGGAACAAGACCATGCGACCACATTTAATCTCTTCTTTTTCCGTTAGATTTAAGAGAAATTATAGCAAAAATTTTTTAAGTGAGACTAAATTATAACTCAGTTAACAAAGTGAGAGTTTTTAAAATTTAGGGAGTGAATTGAGAATGAACATAAAGTTTGGGAGAACCATTACGATTAACGCTATTATAAACTAAGAAGTGTTCGTTTTTTTTTTCTTTTTTTCTTTGGAAAAACCAATATTGTTAGAGTAAAGAAGAGAAATTCAAATGTATGCATGGTAAACTGATTGGAAGAATAACAGATTCTTTTATAAAATTTGTACAATTGATCGTATTGAGCTGATACTAGGTTCACATACAAATTACATATTTAAAAGCAGTTTTGCATGAAATAGGCAACCCTGCGAATTTCAAAAGGGCTCATGCTGAGGTTGCAAGACGCAACGCTCTCTAAACTTGAGAAACTGCTTGTTGAAGATTCTTGAAGGCTTTCTTGTAATTCAAGAAACCCATAAACCAGAAATCAAAGTTATCAACTGTGACTATTTCTATGTACTTTTGTGACGGCTTCTTTACATTCACACTTTGGTTGACTCTCTTTATCTTGCTTACTGGGATCACAACCTGCAAAGTATCATAAAAATGATCAAATTTATTAGCACCGTGTGTAGGAATTAAGAAAAAAGAGAAATTGGAGTTTTGATTGTTTAAATTTTGTGTATGTTACCTTATAACGGGCTCTAGTTAGCTCTCCGTTTGGCGACGAAAACTTGATCGATTTTTTGCTGCAAAACGCGATTTTCTCCGAGGAGATGAAGAGAAGGCCGGCTATAGGACCGGCTGTGGTTGACAAATAGCATCGAGAAGCTTTTAATAGTTTCTCTCCTTCTGTGACACTAAATAATTGCTTAAAGATTTTCTCAAATCCACCAACTTGAAGAATCCGAGCTCCCAAGCTCAGCTTCCCTTTCACAGTTTCAGTGATCTTAGCCCCTAGTCCGGCTGCAATTTCAACAATACAAGTAAAGTTTAGCAAACTTGGGTTCATTTTCAAAAGTTTGGAAAGTTTTGGAACTTGAAAGAAGAGAATAACTTATTACCATGCTCTTTGATTCCATGTGCAAAGCTGTCCGCTTTCTTTCCGAGCTTGTTCATTCTGCTCAGCACTAAATCTACTCTACCTGTGATATCAAGACCATTATCATTAGTGAGAAAACATCTTTTGAGTGATTCATAATCTAGATAAGGAGAAAGAGAAAGAGAGAGAGAGAGAGAGAGAGAGGGAGAATTTACTTCTTTTCGAAGCAGAAGATCCATCGTCAAGAAACCGATCGTTACGATATTGTGCAGCTATGTCAGTCAGGAGTGGATTTGGAGACCTCTGATCTAGTGGATAAGCAATTGATCTTATTGGAATGCCAATAACTTGTCCGCGAACCGATGTTTTCATTTTCAACGATATGCTAAGGGAATTCGCTTCCTGTGCTTAGAGATGAGTTTAGAATTGTTCTTCAATCTCTGAGGAACTATGAAACTCGAGTTTGATGATGCCAATTAAGGTTGATGAGGAGGTGTATTTAAAGGCGGGGGTATAAAAGTAGTTGGTGAATCTTTTTAACTTATTGATTGCCTGACTCATCAGTGGCTCATCAATGACAATAAAGGCAAAGACATATGACTTCTCAAAAGATAAATTTTTCAAAAGAAGAAAAGATTATTAGAAGATGGCATGTTTAGGGTTACTTTTAGAAAAGACAACATGGGAAAGGCTTAAATTCTTCTTTGGTGGAATATATATGCTTCTTCATAGCATTGGAGGAAAGGTGGATTTGGGGTGTGTGAATTAAGTCTAAGTTTCTTGTTATATAAGACTCTCATTGGCATTGGTTCATGGTATTTAAGAGCTGGAAATGAAAATATATATATATATATATATAGAAGGGCCCTCCATTTTGAATGATGTAGAAAATAATGTAATGTTTTTGTATCTGATTAATGGATCTTTTAATGTAGAAAATCCTTGATGAATAATTGTATGAATCACAAAGGATGCAAAGGTAAGATTTTCTAAGATTCTCAGGGGCCAGATTGTTAGAAATTCCTTTAAAGTCTAGAATTATGAGGAAGAAGACTCATTTTGTTTCAGTTTGTTTTTAATGCTTTACCTTTTATGGCAATTGCCACAATTGATCTAAAAGATTAAAAACTATACCATATTAGCAGGGACATCCTTTTAATTGAACAATCACAACCAAGCTCCATGCAATTCCACTTTTTTTTTTTTTTTCCTCTCTTATTCTAACTGTAGGAGGCCGTGTAATTGAAGCCTTTTGAGCTGGCAATTTAGCTTTGTGATCTAAGCCTTCTTTAAATACGGATATGATAAGATAAGATAAGTGAAAACGAAAAAGTAATTTGTGACCAATTGAGATTTATCATTTACCAAATTTCATGTGACATCATATATATAGGTCGTCACATATTTTAGATTGCATGAAATTGACATGCCCAAATGGCCTCTTTCTCTTTCTGAAAGTTGATCAATTGAAATCTTGTTACTTTTATGTCCATGAAGTCCCACTTATATGGGAGTTGTAGTATCAGAAAAAAATTAGCATGTGAAGCTGTTAGAGAATTGTTATCCAGCTAGCTAGCAAAATATTTTCCATTTGACATTGACGTTAAAAAGTTGACATTTTCTTGGAGCCCCGGAATTTCCACATTCAACTATAAATTAAATGTTCTATGAGAAACTTAAGAAGAAAATTTTGAAACTTATTCTCAAACAATAGTATTACCAATTCATAGAGACGGCCATCCATAAACAGTGACAAATTTAAGTACAACTCAGTGAAAGTTACCGTTCTGACTCAAATATTTTAAAAAAAAAAATATTACTTTTAAAAATTTTAAATTTTTACATTTAAGTCTCCGTTGAAATAATATATGTCCTCATTAAAATAAATATATTTTTTTATATGTCTCTATTAAAATGATTTATTAAAAAAATCTAATGTACGTCTCTACTAAAATAAAAGACTGACTTTGTTACTGTCCATAAGTCTATAAAAATTGTTAATGTAGCATATTACAGTTGCAAAAAATTGTTCAATCCTATATTTTGGTCTCGTTCATTTTGTTGATTCGAGTTTAGAATTTGAGTTAAGATGTAATTTTATGTGAGAACTTTTTACGATAATAAAAAAATTAAATGTAATTATTTAAAAAAAAATTTTATAATAATAAAACTTAAATTTTAAACTCAAATTAACGAAACGATTTATGCATTTATTTGTCATTTCATACCTGACTAATTTCTGTGTAGGCAATATTCTCATTATTAATGATCAAGAGTAATTGTTGCCTTTGGCTCCATATTGTCATATCATGGCTGACTAATTGCTGCGTAGGCAGTACTCTAGTCACTTGTAATGACAAGGACTAGAGTATTAAAGTTGCGAGAATAAATCATTGAAGGCAATTGAAAAAAAAAAAAAAAAAAAAAAAAGGGAAAAAAGTGTCACATAGTTTATAAAAAAAAGTAAGAAAAATAATCATTTATAAATGTCAAAATTGAAATGTGAATAACAAGGAGACTAAAAAAAAAGAGTTAAAAAAATTAATTTACGTGAGAAAAAATATTATAATAAAAAAATTAAATTTTAATTTTTATGAAAAAAATATTTTAATAAAAAATTTTATGGAAAACAGTCATATCCTTTGTGGTTCTTCTTTTTCCTTTTTCTTTTTTTCTTTTTCTTATTTTCCCCTCCCTTTTGGTCAGCCTTTCATCTTTCAAGCTGAGGTGTTGGTGAGTCGGAAGTAGGCCCTAAGAAGTAATAACTGAAGAAAAATATCAACTACCCTTGTTCCAATTCCAACAACCCAAATGTGAGCATTGAACTAATTGAGTATTTAATATGATAGAAAAAAAAAATTATTTTTCTTTACTCTAAGGGGCTGCACTAAAAAAGAAGACGTGTAAACAGAAGATGGGTTGTTGTACTTTTTCTTCGTTTCTTGCCTGGGAAAAAGGGGACTTGCCATGTCATAGCCACATCCCACACATGCACATAATGGACCCACTTTAGGATTCTTCTAGATTTCAGAAAGCTAAGGGAGGTGGGAAAAAAAAATCTTATGATGAGCCCTAATTAGTAATATAATTAAAAATAACATCAAAGAATAGGAATCATGTGAATCCCAAAGTACTTGCTTTGGGATAAATAATACGGTCTCGTTCTTCTCACTGATTTAAATTTTTAATTTTAAATTTTTACAGTTAAAAATTCTCAAAAAATATCACATTTAATTTTTTTTGTTACAATTAAAAGTTTTCAAAAAATATCGCATCTCAACTTAAATTGAAAATTCGAATTCGCGAAATGAACGAGGTATACATACGAATCTCACAAGTTAGACCAAGCCTAATGCATTATGTTGATGTTCTTTGTTGTCGTTTCTCAACTTCCAAACAAAAAAAAACTCAAATGTTTTGGCCTCGGAATACCATTTTTTGTTGCTTAGTAAATGCATTTCAATCACATGATGGGGCCTAACTAATTTGCTTAATCACATAAAAGTGCTACTATTCCTCATAAAATAAGATTTATGAATGATTAATTTACCTTAGATAACTCGTCTTGTTTTAAACGATTCATATTATTGCTAACTAACCAATTGACCAATATAAGTATTATAAGATATTTATTTTGCAATAACACCACATCCGACAATGCGACCACATAATATTTTAAATGTAACGTTTTGCTAATGTTTTTTCATATATTTCGTTAGGAACTAAGGAAGGATAGAATAAAGAATGCCAGCCATAAGCCCTTTTGCAATATATATATATTTATATATATATATATATATGTTAGCCACCCTTAAGCAGAAGAGATAAACAATTCCACTTATCTGGGAAAGGGGAAGAAAAACTAAAAGCTGAAAACACCAATGATATCAGTTAAATTCCTTTTTATATAGACACGTAAAACTTATAGCATAATTTGTTAATTACTTTAGCTAATATTTTTGTTTGAAATAAATAAAATGTTTAGTTATCAAAGTTGACAACTTAAACATTTTAAAGATTGTATGAAAACTACGATTTTTTTTTTTTTTTTTTTTTAGAAAAGGGAAATTAAAAGGACTTCTTTTTCTCTCTTTATCATGTAGGAAAGCAACAAAGAGTCTCATTTGACTAAGACTGTTAACCAACACATGGCATGCCTTGTGATCCATTTAACGTTCTCAATTAAAGTTGCTGGACAATATGTTACTAAAATGAAGAATGAGCACATCCGAATAAAAAAATATAAAAATATAATAATAAAAAAATAAAATAAAAAATAAGCAATGTCCCCTCCCACAAAAAAAAAAAAAAACAAAAACAAAAAGACAAAAAAAGAGAGACAAAAACACTCATCTAGCAGTGGACGCAGTACTGATAATTGTAGGTTTTATTCATTTAACCGATTCGAGTTTAGAATTCGAGTTTTACTACAATAAAAAGTTTTCAGAAACAGTCATATTTAATTTTTTTACTACAGTAAAAAACTCTCACATAAAATCACATATTAACTTGAATTAATTACTCAAATCATCGAACTAAACGGACTCGTAATAAATACCATGCCACATGTTGGTTCAGTTCTTCATTCCGCTACACTAAAAACACGCCATTGTCTCGTTATTATGATCGAAAAAAACTAATGACCAAGAATTTGTATGAACACCTTAAATGAATATTTCTATAAACATCAATATCCATGGAAAAATAAACAAGAGCTAGTCACTAATAACCTTTTGAACGATTAAACCCCCATGCTTAAGTAAGAAAACAAGTGGAGATACTTGACAGAGAAAGTGAGTGCCTTTTTTCTTTTTTCTTAGGATTAATTTTTAAAAATGCCACCTTAACTACGTTATTAGTCTCTTAAAATTTAAAACGCACCAACAAATCCCACTAAACTTAGTGCCACATCATTATAAATTAAAAAAAATTATAACAGTAGGGGTATTCTCGCAAACATTTCATAATTTAAGGGGTTCATCAGTGGATTTTAAAATTTAAAGAGCAAAATGATACAAATACCATTATTTTTTTTTTTGGAGCATTTGTAAAAATTAATCTATTTACTTATATACGCTCTTGCTCACGCACGGAACATCAAAAATCTCGTTGGTAATCAGTCAACAATAGAAATAAAATAAATAAAATATGGTTATTAAAAATAATATAATTACCAAAGTAAGCACCAGAGTTTGTTTTTATTGGGTAAGGACTTTAAATTGATTTTGAAAAAGTTATTATTTCGTATTTTTTGGAACAGATTATTTTATAGTTCATTAAGAGTCTATAAATAAATGCTTTGTGTAGGAATTTATGTGGTAAGAGAAAAGTGCAAAGAAATAGTACCTCCTTTTAAGAGAAAGAGAAAAAAGTGCAAAAAAGAGTACCTCCTTTGAAAGAAAGAGAGAAAAATAATAAGAGAGATAGGCAAAAGGTGAAAGGGTATTGGATAGAGAGAGAATTTGAGAAATATTATTGAGTGTGTAATTATGAAGTTGTTAGCAAATATTTTCTCCCTTTCACGACATAAGTAATTGAGCTGAATCACATAAATTTTTGTTTGCTCTATTTTTTTTTTTTTTTTTGCTATTTTTGTTTTAGTCTACTCTTTTATTGTGTGGGTATAAAAGTGTGTTTTCTCTAACAATTTTCAATATTTTTGAATAAAAACCTATATCTCAGAGAACTTGCATTTAA